TGTTTTGAATTTAATGTTTAAAATGATGTCACACACATGTTTTTTTTTAGTTTTGCTTCGTCTTTCTTGTTGTTAAATTAGACGCATAGGAATACCGGAATAAAAATTTTCAGTAATATTAACCGGGCCACGGATAATTTAGGAATTAAGAAGACAAAAATCTACTCCATAAACAGATTTTTCGGGAACTCATACACTAAATTAAACTAGACGCATAGGAATTCCGGGGCAATTAAAATTATCTGTAATTTTTACCGGGCCACGGATAGTTGAGTTTAGCGAAGCACATCCCGCTAATCAGTTGCATAGGAATTCAGTTCGATGTTTTTTTTATAAAATGAGTCGACTGACCCCGGCTGATGGCGAAATTGATATGCTGCTCATAAATGTAGGGTGCGCTAAAGCCGCGAGGTTTCAAGGCCAAGGCGCATTGTTGTTGTGCTAGGGAGCGAGATGACAAAGCAGAGGCTGCGATATCGTCACGCTTATCAGAAAGCATAGCTCCCGAGTAGCAGCAGCATACATTTTTTTCTCTCTCTCTCTCATTGCATGGAATTTGGGTTTGTCAAAAACAAAGCTTTATCGGGGACGGCTGCTTGGTTGGATGGCAGTAATTGATACTTATATATTTCCGTTTATTTATTTATTACTTGTATTTTTTATATTGATTGAAAGTATTATTTATTCATTATTTATTCACATATGCATTTATTTTTTTTTAATCTTATATCATATGAAATTATTTATTCAGTATTTTTAGTAAAATTAGTTCTTTAATTTCTAATAATCAGATTGAAGTTTGTTTAGCGCTCAAGTTTGTTTGTTTACTACCGTCCGTATTAGCGGTGAAAAATATTTCTCTCAATCTCAGCAGCTAGCTTAAGAGGGAAAACGAAGGAGCGGAACAGCAGTTCGCACAGCTCAAGGTCGTTGACCGAGGAGTTTAAGAGAGCAGCTTTACTTAAGAAGCTGTTGATGTAGGTCAGTGCCAGACCCAAAAGAGAAGATCAGCTGTCGCTCATTCGAGGTCGTTGACCGCTGCTGCTAAAGAGAAGCTCTTTGCATTTGTAATTAGTAGGGCAGAAAGCCTTTGTCCACAGGCACGGTTTTCAAGACTAAGTGCAACCACGAATTCCACAAAAGTTTCATAATAAGTTATTCGAAAGCCAACCAAAAGTGCCCAACTTGTGGAACTCTCTGCTTCGTAGCTCCCGCTGCGACTCCAGCCTCAAAGAGGGCAGCGAGTGCGGATACACCATCAAGTAGCAGAGATACAGTGACGTCGGCACAAGTTAACAACATTGTGTCTCAGGCAATGCGTGGAATGCAGAACGAAATCCTAACGGAATTGTCTCAGCAGATGGCTGTATTAATTCAGACTAATCTAGCTGCGTATTTGCCCAGAAATTCTCCAACTCCTATAGATAAAAATTTAGAGCATCATTCGGGGGCTAGCCAACCGTCGTGGCAGGCTACAGGCGTTGCAAATAGGCGCTACTCAAATGGCTCTCAAGGGGAGGCCAGATCAACTCCTGCAAACTTGGAGTCAGATTTGACGTACAGCCCCGACAAAGTAGGAAATATAATGAATAGCTGGAAATTGCGTTTCAACGGTAACCGAGATGGAATTAGTGTCGATAATTTTATTTATCGCGTCGAGGTACTGACAAGGCAGACATTAGGTGGACTCTTTTCGGTGTTATGTAACAACGCTAGCATCCTGTTCGAGGGCAAAGCTCGCGAATTCTACTGGAGATTCCATAAGTCGACCCCCGAGTGTAATTGGGAACTCCTTTTTCAGGCGCTGAGGAAGCAATTCCGAGATACTCGGACGGACTTAGATATCCGGGAGGCCATTAGGGACCGTAAACAAAAGGAAAAGGAAAGTTTCGACTCGTTCTGGGATGCGATAGTGGCGCTCATGGATGGGCTAGAGAAACCTATGGCGGAAAGGTCTGCGGTGGAAATCCTTCGCCGGAATTTAAGGCCAGAAATACGACATGAATCAGTCGATCAGTTGAGGGAAATTTGCAGAAAACGGGAAAGCTTTCTGGAGGATGTCAGGAAGAATTATACCTATCAAAAGGTTGTTTCAAGAAGCAGGTAGCCGAAGTGGTAGAAGATTTTTTTTCCGATGACGCCATCGAATTTTCCGATATTGAGGAAGTGGAAGAAGTCGGGGCCGTGGCATTAATTTGTTGGAACTGCCGGAAGGAGGGACATCGATATCACGATTGTGATGGCAAGCGCAGAATATTTTGCTACGGTTGCGGAGCCCCTAGCATCTGTAAGCCGTCATGCGCTAGGTGCTTAAAAAACGCGAAGGGGGATGCGCAGCCTCGTCAACAGTCGGGTCCCCATCGTCCTCGTCCGACGAAGCCCGATGCAAAGCCTTAAGTACAAGTTCAGATATTCCAGCTCCAAAAGATAGCAAGGCCGAGCCAAGTGACGACTCAAGTCGCCACCAACAGAGTTTAATCGAATCCAGATTAGAGAAATTAAAGCCACAAAAGTCTGAATCGCGCAATGCCAAGCGTTTAAGAAAGTATCAGAGAGCCGTAAGGTTAGTTACGGCTGATGGCCGTCAGGAGGTCATAGGCCGAATAAAGGTCCCCATCCGTTACAACGACCAAAACAAACCCATGGATTTTTATATAATTCCATCTCTTAAACAGGTTTTGTATTTAGGAATTGATTTTTGGTCTTCATTTAATTTATGGCCACCAGAAATGGTAGTATCAGAAATCAACTCCGATTCACACGATTTGTCAGCTCAGCAGAATGAAAAGTTGGAAGCGGTAATACAAAAATTTCCATCTTTTGCTATTGTTAGGTTGGGAAAAACTTCTAAATTGTCAAACTCCATAGATATCGGAGACGCCAAGCCAGTAAAACAGAGGCATTTCCCAGTCTCGCCGGCTGTAGAAAAACTTCTATACGATGAGGTGGATCGGATGTTAAAGCTGGGAGTTATAGAGGAATCCGATAGCGCCTGGTCGTCTTCGGTAGTGTTGGTCCAGAAGCCGGGTAAAGTTAGGCTTTGCTTAGATAGTCCCAAGTTAAACGCGGTTACCCGGAAGGACGCTTATCCGCTCCCGCAAATAGATGGGATTTTGGGCCGCCTCCCCAAGGCAGCATATATTTCAAGTCTTGATCTCAAGGATGCCTATTGGCAAATTCCACTTGAGCCGGAATCCAGGGATAAGACTGCCTTTACCATACCAGGCAGGCCCTTATATCAGTACCGGGTAATGCCTTTTGGTCTTACCAATGCGTCGCAGACCATGACACGCCTCATGGACAAAGTTATCCCGGCAGAGTTGCGAAACGCGGTGTTCGTGTATCTTGACGATCTGCTGATCGTGTCAGATAGTCTCGAGTCGCATATGAAGGTACTCGGGATTGTCGCGGGCCATATAAAGGCGGCTGGACTAACCTTAAATGTTGAAAAAAGCTAATTTTGTCGAAAATCTGTAAAATATTTGGGTCACATCGTTGGTGAGGGTGTCATTCGGACGGATCCGGAAAAGATTTCCGCGATGAAAGAATTCCCGTTGCCCAAGTCATTGAAAAGCCTGCGGAGATTCCTCGGCATGGTCGGTTGGTACCAAAAGTTTGTGGAAAATTTCGCATCAGAGGCAGCTCCGCTGACAGATCTGCTTAAACAAAAGCAAAGATTCATAATGACACGGGAAGCAGAGAAAGCCTTCGAGAATTTTAAGCAGAAGTTGTGCTCAGCTCCTGTGCTTCAAAGTCCCGATTTCTCGAAGCCGTTCTACGTGCATTGCGATGCAAGCAACACTGGTGTGGGAGGAGTGCTAGTGCAGAAAACTTCGGATGGAGATGAGTATCCCATAGCTTTTGTTTCTAAGAAGCTAAACAAAGCGCAGAGAAATTATTCTGTCACGGAGCAGGAACTCTTAGCAGTTTTAGTTTGCATTAAAAGGTTTAGAGCATACGTTGAAGGACACCAATTCACAGTGATCACAGATCATGCATCTTTAAAGTGGCTGATGTCGCAGACTGATCTGCATTCCAGATTGGCTCGTTGGGCATTAAAACTTAAGGGATTCGATTTAAAAATCGAGCACCGAAGCGGAAGACGGAATGTCGTTCCCGATGCTTTGTCTAGGGTGAATGAGGAAAATGTAGCTGCTTTAAATGACGACCAGAATTTGATGGTGGATTTAGATTCAGCAGAGTTTAAGTCACCAGAATATTTAAGATTTCAAGAGGGAATCGAGGCGAACATGGAGAAGCTGCCCGATCTTAAATTGGTGAATGATCTAGTCTATAAACGGATGGAGCATTGCACAGGGGAAGCAATTCACGACAAATTCAGTTGGAAGTTGTGGATCCCGCAAAACTTGGTCAATGACGTGCTAAGAAATGCACATGACCATCCTTTGGCATCGCATGGTGGAATCCACAAGACCTTGGAGCGCGTAAGGCGATATTACTACTGGCCGAGTCTAGTGAAGGATGTCACGGCTTACGTTTTGGGATGTCAAATTTGCAAGGGAACTAAAGCTCCGAATATGGTCCAGAGACCACCTATGGGAAAGGCTCCGGAATCCGATAGATTCTTTCAAAGGTTATATGTGGACTTTTTAGGGCCCTCTTGGCCCGTCTTGGATCATTATACTAAGTTTGTATTTTTGAAGGCGATAAAGAAGCAAACGGCCGACGTCGTCACCAAGTATATGGAGCAGGAACTATTCCATACATTTGGGTTCCCGGAGACGATTATATCTGACAATGGGTCGCAATTCAAATCAGATAATTTTCAAGACTTTCTCAGGAAGCACAAAATTGCTCATACTCTTACGGCGGTGTACTCGCCGCAGGCAAATGCTTCTGAATGAGTTAAGCGGTCAGTGATTGCTGCAATTCGGTCGTACGTTCGTCTGGATCAAAAGGACTGGGACGAACAACTAAGCAGCATTTGTTGTGCCCTGAGAACCAGTATCCATTCGGCAACAGGAGCGTCGCCGTATTATATGGTGTTTAGTCAGCAGTTTATGGGCTCTGGGGCTAGTTATAAATTGCTTAGGACCTTAGGACTGCTGGAGGACAAGGCCATGTCGTTCAATAAGGAAGACTCATTGGAGCTAATGCGTGCTAAGGCTCATGAGATACTGCAGAAACAAAATGAGAGAAATGAACGTTTATACAATCTCAGGTCCAGGGCAGTATCTTACGCGGATGGCCAAGAAGTTTTCAGGAAGAATTTTAAACAGAGCAACTTCCAGTCCGGATATATTGCCAAGCTGGGTCCAGCCTTCGTAAAGGCGCGAATTCGTAGAAAGCTTGGCAGATCGTACTATGAATTGGAAGATCTGCAGGGTCGGCTGGTTGGCAAATATCACGCCAAGGACATAAAGCAGTGAACGGCTGCCTCAGGCTTTGGTTGGTATCAATCTTGGGAGTCTGACCCCCAAGTTCGATATTTAGCGGGGGGCATTTGTAACGACTGATGCAGAGCCAACCTCAATGATACTTTCCTGGCGCCATCTAGGGGGTATTAGCGCAGCCCCAATTGTGGCAGAGGGAAAGGTGCAGAGCGGAGCTAATTGGCGAAATCCACCTCTAACGGGGGGTAAATGTCAGCGATCGGCTGCGACCCGAAGGAGGGTGAGAGTAAGTGAGAGGGATCCCGCTGGATTCGATGCGGAATTCGCTTGGATTTAATTCTTGGCGGCAGAGCGGACTAGGTCCATCTCGGAGGAAAAATTAATAAAACAAATAATCAAGTTTTCGCGAGTGGAACATATTGGTTGCTTTTTTTTTGCATTGGCGCTGCCAAGGCCGAGGTATAGAATTAAAAGAAGACAAACGGGTTAATACCCAAATTTCAAACAAGCGCTGAGTTCCCCAAGGGTGAGTTTTTCTGTGAAGGAAAAAAAAGTGACTCGTTGTAAAAATGTGAAAATTTATATAGGGCCCGGCGCTTTATAAAAAAGCGAATTTTCCCCTTCTTGCGGCGGACACAAATTCGGACGGAGGAATAGCGGAATTAACGGACCGCCTAAAACGACGCTTCGGAGTACCGCCAAGCGGCCACAGCATTGGCGCGCCAGCGCAAGAGATCAGAAGAGCCCCTCAGCCCCCTTGCCCCAGACTTGGCACCGTTTTAATATTCAGCTTTTGATCTTGGAACATGTGAAGGCAACCTAGGATAGGGAAGTAGCCGCAAGACATAGCGGGTTGAGCAGCGTCAAGCGGTGACTCTTTTTGATCTGTAGCCTATTTTTGCATCCCGCTCCCCATTCCAAGAGCAGTTAGTATGAATGTAGCGCTCGATTAAGCGAGAAAGAATTTTGCCGGGAGCGCGGATCAACAACAAAAAAAAAAAATATTAAAAGAAAGTAAAAGTAAAACTTTAAATGGCGCGAAATAAATAATATAAGTTAGTTTACATCTAGTGGAAATTTCAAATTAGTGTTAGAATTGTTTTTTGTGGTGAGCAAACCAAAGAAGTGCAAGAAAAAAAATAGTTGTGGTACAACCGCCTTCGAATTTGAATTTTCGGAAGTATTAGGGCATTTTTATTTCTTTCTTCGGTTTTCCCACAGAAAAAAATGAACTTTTTATCAAGGCAATTGCCACAATTTTAATCCGTTTGACCCACTGTGCCCAACTACAAATGAAAAAAATTAAATTTATTGAAACCAAATTTTCTTTGTTTTCTATTGTGGCCTCACTAAAAAAATATATATAAAAAAAAAAAGTAAAATAATTGAATACTATTAAATTCATAAAAGTTCAGATTACAATGAGAGGAATTTTTGTAGTTTTATCGTTTAGCATTGTATTATTTAATTTACGTTTGATGTTTCTTTTATGTGTTTTTTTTTTTTAGTTTTTAGTTAGAAAATAAATAATTTTTATAATGTGCTAAAAATCATTAATTTATAGCCTCCACCGTCATTTCGCCCCCGTAAGGCCAGCGATTGTTTTCAAAGGGGTCATCCAAGGAATATAGTTAGGAGTGGATTAGATGGCCAAGGCAGGGAGGGCAGATGAGGGACCTCAACAACAGCCGAGGATCCAAAGCCCTAAATTTTGTGGTGAGGGAAGAGTAGCCTGTCCGCAGATGTATTGTGACGATTTGATTTCCCTTCCCCCTTTCTCGTCGCTGCACGCAAAGATTAATAAGTTACTGGTAGCAAAAGGCAACAGCGAAATTCCGGCAAGACCACCACCACCATAGCCGACCAGCGAAGCCGAGCAAATCCGCGTGCGCCGGAGTTTTGCAACAACATCTCGCCTGAATCGTTACACTTTTTAGTGTTTGCCAACAATGGGAACTCGGCTAAGGAGATTTTTGAGAGTTTTGATAATATTTACGAGCGTAAAAGCCTGGCATCTCAACTTTCAACTTGAAATCAAACTAAAAGGAGTTGGCAAGGACACAAGTGCAAAAGTGTTGCAGGCTATAGGCAATCGAGAGCCTAGGGATAGCACAAACAAAAAATCAAAATTTGTGAAGAAACAATTCCCGAATAAGTTAAAGCCTAAGCTGAAGTGTTTTCATTGCGGAAAATTAGGCCACATGAAGAAAGATTGTTTCTTCTTAAAAAGGCAGGCAGGGGGCAACCAGAATATTCATGCTCAGAGTAATGTTAGAGAGAGACAGGCCCAGATGGCAACAGCAATGCAGCCAGAACGCTCGTTTGCATTCATGACGAACCTAGCTGTTAGAGAGAGATAGACTCAGATGGCAGCAGCGCAGCCGGACTGTGCTTTTGCTTTTATGATGGAATTAGCTAATTCTAGTGAACAGACAGACGGCGTAGATTTTATATTAGATTCAGGGGCGTCAGATCACATAGTAAACGACATAACTTTATTTTATGAGTATGAGAATATAAATCCGAGTGTAGCGATTGAGATTGCAAAGCATGTGTATGCCACTGCGAAAGGACTAGTTAGTCTTAACAGTTCCGGGAAACACATTGCATTACAAAATGTGCTGTATTGCGAGGAAATCCCGCAAAATTTACTATCCGTGAAGAAGATGCTAGGTGCTGGAATGTCCGTCGAATTTAATCCGGATAGTATAAAAGTAATCAAAGATGGTATCTTGGCATTTAAAGTGTTTTGTAAGTATAATATACCGATTGTGCAATTTTATTTAAATAGTAAAGTATATACATCCAAAAGTTTAAATGAGAATATCGTTTGTGGCATGAAAGGTTAGGACATACGTATTAGTGTAGGAAAATTCTTAGAAATTAAACGAAATAGCTAGTTTGAAGATGTTGAACTTATTAAAAACGTAGAGCTGAATAAAAATGAAATATGTGAGGCGTGTATTAACGGAAAGCAATCAAGGCTAAAATTTGAGAAATTTAAAAGCAAAGAAAATATTGACCGCCCATTGTTCGTAGTTCATTCTGACGTTTGTGGTACGATTACGCCCTCTTATTACTATTGATAATAAAAACTACTAAAAAAATTTTTTGAGTCAAAAATCGGCGTTTTGACTTCAAATTTTGATAATAAATCGGGAAAAAATGTTTAAAAAATAAAAACGCTTCGTAAATACCTCGGGACACTTATCATTTACCGAATGAGGTATAATTTTTGGACAGTTAGGATGTATACCGCAAACCAACTTTTTTTTGAAGCGACTCGGGAGATTCCCTATAACTCCTCTACCTTTAAACATTTTGCAATACAAAATTTATCAAAAACTATTTAAATGTTGTGTTATTATATGATTTTTAATTAATTAACCAAACTCTAGCCGTTTCGCCATAATAAATTTTTGAAAAGTGGGCCGCATTGCACCGAATTAATCTTACCCGCCCCTTAAAAATTGTAAGAAAAATATTACTTACGGTGAACTCACCATCACCTGTTGGCTGTGTGATAACATAGTGTATGCCAGGTGCATTGGTGTTGTTGCACGGACAGTAGATGATATAGCCAAGAATATCGGCGTACGCTACTGCTGTGAGGCCTGCCGCGAAGTGGAGAGGGAGATGATGTCTTTTATGCGGCTAACCAAGGGTGGTTTTAAAGAGCTATTCTTGAGTTTCCGCAAAACTCAAGATATGCTCTTGGCGCTGGATACTCAATTTATTAGCCTCAAGCTATTAAATGAGTCTCCTAGGTGCAAAAAAACCGCAACTGGTGTGCAGCATCTAGGGGGATCCCAGCCAGCAGTGATAGGCTCTCAACAGCAGCCTCCCTCGACTTTGCCCCCGACCCCAGGACAAATTCCAAGAGTCCTGAGATCAAGTGCTAAAAAAGATTCGGTATCCGAATGCGTCGCGGGTGAGACCGTGCCCCCGGTGTTACCCATTTCTGTTTGGTCCCCTGGGGGGGTCCCAACTGTTATCCTCTCAGAGCCCTAGTCCAAGTCCCTGCCAGGGTATCAGGCCTGGCAATTCCAGCAACGAAAAAGTTATTTGTTTCGCGGCTTTCCCCTGATCAGACATCGGAAGATGTCATAACTTTTATCCAAAGCAAAGTAAAATTCGTTAGAGAAAAAATTTAGGTGGAAAAATTTAAATTTTCTTATCCTAGGAACATCTTTCAAAATAAATGTTCCCGACGAAGTCTTTGGCACTCTATGCTCTTCTCAAACCTGGCCGCAGCATGTGGTTGTCAAAGAGTTCGAAGATAAGAAAAAGAAAAAGCGGCCTGTAGGAATTACTCTTCCTAAGCCCGATTTGCCCAGTGCGCCTTCTACGTCTGCCAATTCCGTCCCAAAAAACTAACCAACTCCCTTGGTATTTCCTATCAGAATGCAAGAGGCTTACGCAGCAAGCTTCCTAAATTATATTCTGACAGCGTCACACTTGCTTCCCAAGTTATTGTGTTCACAGAAACCTGGTAAAAGCCGGAGATTCTGAGCTCCGAAGTTTTTCCAGCTGCGCTCACAATATACCGGCTAGATCGGCCGACGTGGGGAAGGTGTCCTTATAGCGGTCGACTCCACTCTCACGTCCGAATTAATAACCTTCGAGGAATTCAACGATGTTGAATTCCTTTGCGTGAAGCTATCAGTTAATGGTAGTTCCATTTTCGTTACATGTTCCTACATTCCTCCATGGTCGGAACTTCCTATTTATTGGAACCATCTTTCCGCTATTCAGTTGGTCTCTAAAAAACTTTCGGATAGGGACCATTTAGTAGTTCTTGGTGATTTTAACATCCCAGGGGCTATTTGGTCCCTAGATAATTCCACTAATACACTTCTTACCACCACACATCATGATTTTATTGCTGGCTTGTTTGACATTTCGCTGTCCCAAGTAAAATTCCTTAGAGCGCTTGCTTGATCTTTGTTTTGTCTCTGATCCGGCAAGAGTTAGTTTACCTAGGGTGGCGCCCCTGACGCAACCCGAAGATCCCTATCATCCCACTTTCGATGTGA